TTGCCGGCTGGGTTTGAACCACGACAGCATGGTATTGCCTAGGCTTTTTAAGTTTAATGAAGCAGCTACTCTGCTGCTGAATATTCTTATTAAACAGTCTCAGCATGGATTTTAAAACTAAAATGTTGCTGATACCATAGTCTCCTTGGAGAGTCCGTGGCTGTTATTCTCTTAAAAACCCTGCATCTTTTATGTGTTAATGGTTTTTAAATCAGCCGTTTGCTTCATTTTCATTCTAATGAGGGCCAGTCTGATTTCCCCTATAAGCTGTCTTATCAGCTTCCAGTTTGCTCTCTGGGGTATGTGTGGTCTGAAAATAGCTTAAGTAATCCTGTAAAACAAACACTTTGCAAGCATTTTCCTATTTTAGATGCCTCTCTAAGAATATAAGTCCCTGTGTGAAAACTTGCATGTTTGCGGTACAGTATCCTCATCGCATCCTCACATGCTACAAAGCCTTACTGCCAAAGACATCCATCCATTCGGGATACTTCAGAAAGTTAACACTGCTGTTTGCTGAAATCCAGTGAAATCAAATTACAAGATTGCTGCTGCTGTACTGGTACTACGCAAGTAACAGTGGTGTCTGATGCAAAACGCTTTTTCTTGAGGGTTAAATGCAGTGCAGACAAACATGCCTGATTTCAACATGTGAATATCACATGCAGTAAGCTCTAGCATTTACATGTGACTATAGCCAAGTGTCTCAAGTCATGCTAGGAAGTCTTTCTGCCTTTTGCAGAGGGATTAGTCCACCCTGTATGTATGCTGTTGGTAACAAACCTGGAGAACAAGCTTGCAGGCACATGGGCCGGTGTTCTGCCTGTTGAGCCAAGCAGCCTCCTTTCACCAACAGGCGTCCCCACCAAGGAGCATCACACAAAGGTATTGAGAATTTACGTTTCCAGGCTCTTTCAGGTTGTCAGCATAACCTTTGCTTTCCAATTACCACAGTTAAAAGCATCATACAAAATACACTTTAAGTGACGGAAGAAAAAGCGAAGAAGAGAGGAAAGACACGGGGAAGCTATGATTTCTACCTCACCTTGTGTCATAAATTATTACTGCACACAGGCTGTTATTAAGCAGGTCTATGTGACAAAAGCCCTATACAGGATTATTTGTCAGGCCTGTGCTCTGCATGAGTTGGTGATGGAAGGCACTTAGCAGCAGTGGAGTGTTTTCACAGGGGATTTGGAGATCATCGGTCATTTTCTCCTGTGATAACATTGATGGACAGGGGCAGTCTTTAAGTTTAAAAGCACACAGTGCAAAGATTGTATATTCCTTTGTAGCATTTGGGGGAGGAAGAGACAAAGTGGTTCAGTCTTTCCATTTATCACTCATAACTTCAGGAGTCTGCAGAGAACAAAAAAAAAAAGGAGCACAGAGCCCCGGGTTGCTGTTTTTCCATGACACGTAATGCTGTAAGCTTCCCTGTGGCCATTTGGAGGGCTGGGCCAGGGAGGGGACATGTTATATCTCACACCTGGTATCGATCAGTGTGGCAGAGTTGCAGACAGGGAAGGACGTGATCCTTCACTCTGCCTTACTGCCCTGTACCCTGTCTTCTGTAGATGGGGACCTGCTGCCCACCACCATGAGGACGAACCACAGCAGATACCTGCCAGGAGTCCCACCTGAGTACCTGCAGCCCTCAGCACCCACCAGCAAGACCCTGCCCAGAGTCACCGGCAGCGGCTGCCTGGAGAATGTCACGCCAGTGTCCGCCAAGGATGGGCAGCTGCTCTCCTCCGTCGTGCGTACCCTCACCACACAGAGGTATGTGGGGGGTGGCACGAACCCCTTCCCTTCATGGGCTTGCACAGGTGCTTGAAGGGGAGATGCAGTGGTGTGTTTCATGAGGGCTTACCATGGTACACTTACAATTAAATCCTTGTCCTAACTTTGTAATGATTGTGCTACATATATAATTAAACCCTCACCATTACACTTGGTGAAGAATGAGGAAGCAAGCTGTCTAGGGATGCTGCTGCTCAAGCGTGCCAGCTGCAGTAATTTGCCCTGATAGATAGTGGGAGCCTCCATCAGGTGCTGGCTGGCATGGGATGCAGTGTTTAGCCTGTGTGATGCTGCCAGCACTTCCACAGCAAGTTTCCTTCACACTTCCCAAGCCAGTGTGGTTAGCTGACAGACAAGCTGTTTCTAGCAGAGGTGCACGAATGAGTGTTGCTTCTTCAGCTAGTGCAAGTGATTGAGAGTGGCTCTCTCTGTCAGTTTAGAATGGCAGATTTCAGTGGTGAAATATACACTGAAACTATACCCTTTGAAAGCCTGCTTTGGGTTGGCTTTGTTTTCATCAGAAGCAAGAAAGGATGCTTAAGGGCTTGACCATATCTAGACTTGATACTTGGGTCAGAATGAAGTTCTATTTCACTGGTGTGAGGCTGGAAAGACTGCATGGATCTTGTAGTAGCCCTCAATTTTCACAAAACAACAAATAATAATAATTCAGTTCACTGCACTCGTGTGAAGGGTGGAATTATTAACTGCTGCTGCATGTGCGATGTGACACCTGAAAGGCTGTCTTTTCCCCGTGACTTGTAGCAACTCTTTTAAAACCTGTGCATTTTGCACAGCTCAGGCGTGTGTGCAGAGTATCAAGCACAACTTCTTGCTGTTTCACCAGGCAGGTTGAAAGGAACAAGCTGGCTTCTTTAGGCTTTCCTACAGTTACACCTGAGTGAGGTCTAGCCGGGGCATCCTGCAAAGATCCAGAAGAGGGACAGAGGGAACAGCTGTGTGCCACCATACACTACCTGCTAATGAGGTTTTGTCAGTGACAGTGAGAAAACTTACTTCTCTGAGGAGATCACCTGAGTACGTGGTAGGAAGAGTTGTTTCCAAGACCTCAGCCAAGAGATTGACTTTCTCAGCCTTGGCAGTCGGGGCTGAGTTGGAGCTGCAGTGAAGTTCATGGTCCAGCAGCACCGATGCTTGTAGCCTGCTCCTGCTTTCCTCCTGATGCCCTAAGCCTGAGCACCCTGAGAAGGCATGTGCTGCCTTCCTTTCAGAAAAAATTGCTCTGTAGATTCGAGAATCTTAGTAGTTAAAATCAAAGTCCTTATGTTTTCAGTGTCAGGAGGAGCACCCATCTCCTTTGAACATTAGGACACCACCACCAGGAAAGTGGGTGCTTTGGGGGAGGCAGTGCAGGAGAAATAGCCACAGGCAGCAATGAGGGAGGGTTGTGTTCGGATGCTTCTTGAGCTGCTTATGAGATGTTGCCCGAAAGAGAGGGAAGCCCTCCCCAGGGACAAGAGCATCCTGCGTGCACACACCTGCCTGAAGTTGTGGCCCTGCTTTCAGACCACTGTAGGGCAAGTTGTGCTGTTGTTTCAGGTCCAGTAGTCCTTTGCTGTTGATTACTGAGAACAGCTTACCCTATAGGTCAGGGGATCATTACTAGCATAAGAGATTGCTACCCTGTAGCTCAAAAGGGACGGCACAGATCGTCACTGGCATAAGAGGGGACCAGCTGAGCCAGGTTTAAAACTTCCCTGATATATTTAGAGATTTCTTGAGGTGGAAAATAGGAAAGTACAGAAATCCTTGGTCATCTGTCTTTTATGTGCCACTCTGATGTTTTTCACTCTCCCTCTCTACTTTCCCCCCACAACAGAAGAGACATTTTAAACAAGAATACTGAAGTGCCTGCAACCATCAGCCAGCAGCTTGGTGTACCAACTGCAGAACGAAGTTCACAAGCTGCAGATGTGTCCCAGTTGTTAATTTGTGACATGCAGAGAGAGAAGGTAGATCACAACAATTTTCCCTCCTCCTCCAGCAGCCCCTTTACTGATCAGCCGATATGCAGGATCTGCCATGAGGGCAGCAGCCAGGAAGACCTGCTTTCCCCTTGCAAATGTACAGGGACATTGGGGACCATTCACCGCAGCTGCTTGGAGCACTGGCTGACATCTTCAAACACCAGCTACTGTGAACTCTGCCACTTCAGGTTTGCAGTGGAGCGCAAATACAGGCCATTGGTGGAGGTCAGTACATGGGGCATGTCCCCAAAACCTTATCTTTAATGTGGAAATCATGTTTATTTCTACATAGGCAACACAAAACCCTTGCAGCTCTGCCAAAGCAAGATGTGAGTTTGGGGATTGGCATAATGAGGGCAAGAGGCCAGGGAAAGGGCAGAAATAACAAGACTCTTGTTTTGAAGTTAATCAAATCAAGTGAGAAGAGTGGGATCGATGGGTTTACTTCACTGTAAACTTGAGTGAAGGTGTGGAGAACAGTGTGCAGTGAATTCCTAGTCTACCAGCCAACGGTAGAGGATGGAAGAGAGGTAAGTAGCAATTTCTGTGGAATGAGACAAGCATCAGTATTAAATATAGGTCAAGAGTATATTTTCTCCTTGCTTTTGAGAGAGCGGTAACAAACCAAGGAGCCTTAGAAACGTAGTTTCCTTGTCAAGCCCACAAGAAGGAGTAGTTCTTACTCAGTGTCTGGCATATTCAGCCGTTTGTAAGTGACTTTTTGACCTCCTTCGCCTGTGTACGAGACTCAACAGTGAATTTGACCATTATTTCTCCCACAATCCAGGTGTTCTGTGACTGCATAAAGTTTGCCAGGTTTGGGTTTTTCCTCAGGGGAAAAAAAAACAAAACAAACAAAAAAACCCAAATCACTATCTTTACGTGGTTAATGATCTTTTGCCTCCCCTATTTTAATTTGAAAAAAAACCTGTAAAAATTACGGTTTATGTTGGAATTAAAAGTGAATTACAGATTACATATTTCAGAAGTAATGAGAAGCATCTTATTGTATCAGCTGGTGACACAGGCACTTACATGCTAAATTTGGGTTCAGGACAGTGTCTTTCCTGTGCATCCTCATTGCTCCTGTGAACTGTAGCAGACTGATTGGAGGAGATATGGTATTAAACGTAAGGGAGGGGGGGCAGGTCTTATGTTGCTTTTGTTCACAGATGAGAGGATACAGGTGTCCTGGGTTCAGCTACAGCAGTCATTTTTTCTCCTTCTTAGTAGCTGGTGCAGTGCTGTGGTTTTGACTTTCAGTCTGGGAACAACGCTGATAACACCCATGTTTTTAGTTGTTGCTAAGTAATGTTTACTCTGACCAAGGACTTTCTCAGTCTCATGCTTTGCCAGAGAGGAGGGGAAGCCAGGAGGAAGCAGAGGCAGGACACCTGACCCAAACTGGCCAAAGGGGTATTCCATACCACAGCACGTCATGCCCAGTATATAAACTGGGGAGAGTTACCCGGAAGGCCCAGATCGCTGCTCGGGTCGGGCTGGGTATCGGTCGGCGGGTGGTGAGCGGTTGTGTCCTTTTCCCTTGTTATTCCTCTTATCATTATTACTGGTAGCAGTAGTGGTTTGTATTTTACCTTAGTTACTGGAGAGCTGTTATCTCAACTCGTGGGAGTTACATTCCTCCGATTCTCCTCCCCATCCCTCCGGGAGCGGGGGGAGGAAGGAAAAGGGGGGGAGTGAGCGAGCAGCTGCGTGGTTCCAAGTTGCCGGCTGGGCTTAAACCACGACAACAGGATAAAACTGACTAGTGGGGAGTGGGTCAGAGGCCCATGCAGAAAGAGAGTGAGCAATTCTCACTGAGGACTACCAAAACTGCTTATGCTGGATTAAGGAATGTGCATTTTGTGTCTAAGCATAAGAATATCTTCATTTTTCCTTAGGATCAGGAAAAAGGAGACGCATGACACAGTATTTAGCACAAAACCTGTAGTCTTGTCAATCTTTAACCAGAGCAAGCCTAGGCCAGCTGTGTTTGATTGCTTGTTGTTTGATGCTTCTAGCAGGACTTCAGACTCCTACAGGAAGCTGCTCCCAGCTTGAGAAATGCTGCTGCTGAGTACTGTCAGGCTGTTAGGGACTCAGCAGCAAAATCTTTGTGACTGATTCTTTATCACCCTCCAATGAGGACGGTAACGTCTTTCGGACAGCTGCTCTGAGCCTGCACCAAGCAGGTTTCCGTTGTGGTTTTGGTGCAAGGACGATGCTGCTCTGAATTTGCTTTCTGTAAAGAAAGATAAGTGATGCTGAGGCAGTGCAAAGTAAACAGTTCGATTTTAGAGTCCAACTTCTTCAAGCTGTTCCCTTGCAGCAGCTGCTCATGAGGCCTGCTTTACACAGATGGGACATGAGCTAATGATAATTGGAGAACTTGAAAGCAAAGCTAACCGTGCCGAGGCTGGGGGAGTCTGGTTGCTTGATCATTCCCTGGTAAAGTGAGGCTTATTTTTGGCAGAAGAAGTAATAAATAATAGCAACAACAACAATAATAATGACAATAAGAATGGTAAAGCTGTCTTTTTTTCTCAGCTGGACTAATAAGAATCAGGTGCAAGAATATTTCTGAACATACTACACATTGTTAATTGATATTTTTGTCTTTGTTACCTAATCTCTTCCTGCTTCTCAGCTACTATACCCACAATATTTTAGTACTGTAATCAACTATTACATGCAGTTGCACAAAAGGTCATAAAAAAAAAGCAAGTTACTTTTTTTAAGTCCATTGTGATCTTACACAAGTATGTTTTCAGTTTAGAAGGGAATTGAAGCTGTACTTTTGAAGTTGAGAGCAGCAGAGACAAAGAGTAACTAAGATGACTTGTACACAAAGGGACAAATTAAGCAGAAGGATACGAGTCAAAGTTTTTTATTTGTTAGTATAATTTAAGCTTGTCCTTAAATTTGTGCTTATTTAATAGCCAGTGCTTTGAAATAAAAAGAACCCCCTGCAAATAGTAACAGCAAATCTGAAATTTCCCAAAGCATGACTAAAGCAGAAGCAAATTTCCAGATTCCCACATCTTCTGTGTCCTATAAACACTGTCGTATTCCTGCATTACTTAGAGCATTAGGGCATGGAGGGAAGTTTATCATCAGGTATAGTAGGACAATCTTTCACAAGAACCTGCTGTAATGTTTGGTCAAATGACAAGCCAGAGCAGCCACCTGCTTTTAACTCCATTGTGCGTGTTTATGTGTGTGGAGTCAGAGTTCTCTTCATTTAGTGAGATAATTAGTTCTCCAAAGATTCCTCTGAACTAGATAATGGAAGTGGTAAACAGTCCTTTCAGTGGAAGTGATGAGTTTATCAATGCATTTAAGGAGGCCAAGAGGGACTATTATACTCATAAAGTCATTTGTAAAGCATTGTCTATAGAAGCTTATTCAGTAAGTCCTCAGCAGGCCCTATCTCATGCCGCGAATACATCCCGTTCATAGGTGAGTGACAGGTAGTATAAAAATGCTCGAAGCAATCAATCATCTTGTCCATCTTTTCTCCTAGAGATTGTCCATCAGGGAAAAAAAATGGTATTTCTGACTATTTAAAGACATATTATTCACTTTCTTAAGGTGGGGGGGTGGGGAATAAAAGAGACGAACACAGTAGTATGTTTGTTTTCTCCTCATCTCTTTGTTGGGTTGGTCACTGCTTCTTAGCAGCTTAGCCATGGGTGTAAAGGAAATCTCAATGGAATCAAATTGAGATACTTCACTTGCTTTATGTAGAAATGTCTCATCTGAAAATTACTGCTGTTAGCACCCATGAGAGTCTGCAGCAGTGGTGGGCTTGAAATGAAGTGAGCAGTAAGTGGCTCAGCTGGTTGGTCAGCCATATTCCTTCCTCCCCTGTCTACATTATGATGGTAGCAGCAGAGGATTTCATGCCATGCTTCATGATTTGATCAGAACAGGCTAGTGAACCCATTGCATTTCCCCTGCACTTCCCCTCTCCCACCATGTTGCTAGCTTGCCATTAGTTCATAAGGAAATTAAAGCAGTAAGAATTCGTTGCAAGATGGCTTTCTGCCTTCTTTTAGGTGTCACCTGTGTTCACCCTAAGAATATGGGCCAACACACTTGAACAGGAGATCTTTAGGTCAGACGCAGGGGACATATCTACAACTAAAAAATGTTGCGTCAGATAATCCTTGAGGTCCCTTCCAATCCGGTACTCTGTGATTCTAGGAACTATATCCTGCCTCCTGTGTACATCATGCAAAGGATGCAAAAATGCAGGGAGCTCACCTTTGCTTTCTCTCTCCAATTTATCTTACACACAGCAGTCTGGTTTTTCCCTGGATTTCTTTTGTGAGGAGAAGCAAAGGAAAAATAGCATTCATTTTGACCTTGATTTTCTCTTTTATTCTTCATATCTTTTCTCCATCATAAGCTTCTCTCTGGTCAACTGAGTTTCAAACTATGTGCTTCTCAAGGGAGACATTTCTTCATCTGTGCCACAGGACATGTCTTTGTGTCTGGGGGAGAAACACCTAAGAAATGTACAATCTGCTAACTGATGTCCCAAACCCAACCAGAGAGGCAAGAATTGGTAGTGCAGTCTGTCAGGCAGATTGATCCTCTCAACATTGCAGTTGTGAAGTTTCAAGCATTCTTCATCCACTTAGTTTTTTAACTCAGATTATTTTCCCCAGAAGAATTGTGTTTCATGAGCTAGGCATTATGGTGGGGATTAACCCCTCCTTCAGCATTCAGTGGAAAGTGATTTGTTCATTGCTATCCACCACTTACAGCCTCCTGCTATGTTGGATAGAAGAGCTCTGTGACTTGTCCTGCTTCAAGTCAAAGAAGCGCACAGCAGGGAATGCACACACTTCACCTTCTCCACAGGTGTTTGTCAAAGGTTGATCAGCCAAAAGGATTGGTCTCCTTTCCAATTCCTTGTCTCCATACTGTTGGCCTACATGTGTCCAATGTGCCCTGTGTGCTTTTACAGTTATAGGTAAGAACTGCTTTCTGTTGAGCCTTCACAGACATGTGTAGATGGATGGCTAATGCACTGCAGGTAGGTGCAGTGCCCTGCCTGGCTTTCAGCACTTAACGCTGCCTTACCTGTGGACTGAGCTAACCAGGAAATCCCTGCTTCTGGTAGCATTTGTGCTCAGAGGCTGGGCTCAGGCTCCTCTATTCTCCACTGGGACCTGGAACTTGCTATTTCTCAGTCACTTGTAAACTCATTTATAACA